CAAAAAATTACTATGCAAAATTATATAAGGCCAAATAGTGAGATCGTGATTAGTAGGGGGAGACTAAGAGGGATGGGGTGGAACAAAGAAACTTACAGCACGAACGCCAATGAGGTCGGCTTCCAGCCATATCAGCAAGTGTATCCGACCAAACGTGTTCATCGTCTTTAGGACTTAAACCAGGGAGCCGAGACGTTTCAACCGAGGCCAGCTTCGAAGTGAGGGCCTTCATTCCTCTCGACCAAGTCATCGCCTGGCCACCCCCTCTTCTCCCATTCACACCCCGGCGCGCAAACGCACGTCGCGGGAATAGGTGGACTGGCATGGGCAACACGTGGCCGAGCTATCGGAGCCTGGTGCGTGAAAAAACGGTGCTGAGCGGTTCATTTCCTTTTCTTGTGCCGTAAACAAGGCGTCGAACACGCTCATTGCTTACTCGGTGTTCCCACCAGATGTGAGCTAAATTACGAAGCACCGGTGGTCGAACGTAACTAGCCTCTTTATGTCCGTTGATCTAAGGGGCCAAGTTTCATAACCGTATAGTAGGGTCGAAGGTACCGCTGCATTGTACACTCTACCCTTCAGGGCGAGAGTGATGCCGCGCCGGCGCCATAAGTGGCCAAGGTTAGCAAAAGCGCCTAGAGCTTTTGCTATATGGTTCGTGCTCCCATCTTCAATCCCAAGGGCGCTGATACAACTTCCCAGGTAGTGGAATTTTTGAACGACTTCTAGCTGATCTCCACCAAGGGTAAGCGTAGGCGGTCCAGGCCAATCTTGTAGGAACGCTTTGCACTTCGAGGGTGCGAAGCAAAGCTCGAAGTGACGGACAGCCAGTGCTAATCTGTCCAGTGTCGCCTGGCAAGTTTGTGAGCTGTCACAGATTAGGGCAATATCATCGGCATATTCTAAGTTAATAAGCCGTTCTCCTGTGAGCAGATCCACACCTAAGTCGTGTCTTGTAAACGCGATTTCCATGACTTCAACAACAGCGAAGTTGAATAGGAAAGGGGACAGCGGGGATCCTTGTCTCACACTGTTGGAGATGTTAAAGGGCGACGACACCTTGCCGTAAACCCTCATTCTGCCCGAGGTACGCGCGTATAATGTTCGGGAGGCCCTGGTTAATAGAGTGCAAACTCGCCCTAGATCAACTGCGCTTGGCTGTAGTTGCAGGTGCGCACGCTGTTAGATCCGAAGCTGCGCGTGACAGTTTTCAAGATGGCAACGGAACCCCGCGATCACGCTGTCGAGCTGGGCCTGCTCCCTCGCCACCTTGTAGTCAAGGCAATCGGGTCAAAGATCACAGGTGGAGTCACTGAAGCCACTCGCATTATGAGGCGGGGCACCTCGAACATAACTTGCTTGAAAGAGCATCCGAATAACCCTATTCGTGTTTACTGTCTTTCGGACCCAACGAGGGAGCCGAGAGAAAGCAACCAAGGCCAACTCAGAAGTAATGGCTTCCATTCTTCTTGAACAAGTCATCGCTTGGTCTCTTTTCTCTTCTTACATTTACACCCCGGTCGCAAAAAACGCGTCGCGTGAGTCGGGGTGCCGGAATACGAAACAAGTGGCCCAGCCATCGGAGCCTGGTTCGCAAAATAACGTTGCTGAGCGGTTCACTTCCTCTTCCTGTACCATAAACAAGGCGCCGAAAACACTCATTGCTCATGTGGTGTTCCCACCAGATATGAGTCAAAGTGCGAAGGCAGCGATGGTCGAACGAACTAGCCTCTGCGGCTGCCAATCACACGGACCAGGTTTCACAACCATGCACACATTATCCTTCAGGGATAGCGTACAGTTCAGTTGAACAACTACGATCCGAGCACCGAAGTGCAATGGATCTAGTTGCTCCAACTCACATTGCAAAAATGGCAAATAAATAACAACGGCAGTGGGGTTAAGACAAAGGGAATGTGAAAATAAAAGAAGTGTGTTAAAAAAATCAGAATGGAACGAAAAGTAACCACCAGATGCAGGAACGCCACTGACTGCGTGACTGTGCCACATTTGATACGGTTTTCAACCATCGCTGTAGACGATCCTGAGGCCTACATCCGCCTGAGCAAGTCACTCAGACAATTTCTACATGCTTATATGCCACGTCATGAATTGGCCACCCCGCGGTTTCACCCAACTTGATGCAGCCAAGACGTATAATGCACGCCGAGCGAGCCAATCAACAGGCATACGGAGGACAAGGTCTAGCCAACGTAAGCGACTGAGATTCGACAAGCACTCGAGTGAGGCACCAGAAGGTTTCTTGCCAAAAATCAACTGGCAGACCTCAGCATTGCTCACCCGGTGCTTCCACCAAACGTGCGCAACAAACTGCAAACACCAGTAGTCAAACACGTCATGCGTTCAAGGTCTCCGCCGCGAAAAGTAAGACCGACCTTACAGCAGCGTTGTACACCCTACCTTTCCCTGACAGGCTGATATCCCACCGTCTGCATAGATAGTTGAGTCTCTGGAAAGCCACACGGGTGTAGTTGATAAGCGAAGTAACTTCCTCAGTGATGTGACCAAGTAGTGACACTGCTATCAAAGTCATGGATAAAGTGATGTCGCGCCGTCGCCATAGGTGGCGATGGTTAACAAAAGTACCTCCAGCTTTTGCTATACGGTGCGTAACCTCGTCTTAAATTCCACAGCCGCTGATACAAACGCCTAGACAGTTAAATTTCTGAACGACTTCTAGCTGATCGCCACCAAGAGTCAGCGTAGGAGGCGGTTTCTACCAATCTTGGAAGCATTGCCCTGTGAGGGTGCAAAGCAGAGCCCAAAGTGACTGACATAAGTGGTAACTTGTCCAGTGTTGCTTGATCCGTTTGGGAGCTGTCAAAGCTAAGGGCATAGTCGTCAGCATACTCCAAGTCAAGAAGTCATTCCCTTGGAAGCAACTCCACAAATTCAAAGTCGTGTCCAGTGAGTAGACTTTCCATGACGTCGTCAAAAGCGAGGTTGAAGTTGCCTTACACCGTTGGAGGTATTGAGGGGCTGCGACAGATTGCCGTAAGCCCTCATTCTGCTCGAGCTACGCGCGTAAGGCGCTAGGAGAATATTCACGTATTTCTCGGACACAGCTTTAATCGGCAGACAGTCCTAAAGGGCACATCGATCCAAAGAATCGAAGGCACCTTTGATATCGAGGAACACAACAACGGTGGGTCGCCAATATATGTGATGATGCTCCAACAATTGACGTAAGGCGAAAGTGTAAACGATGCAGCCCCGACCTGGAAGAAACTCGGCTTGCTCCTCATGAAACTGGCTTTCACGGGTGCCAGTCAATGGGTGAAGGAGTAGAGGCAATTAATTTGGAGGCGATGTAGATCAGACTGATTTCTGTGTGACTGCTGCATTCCGAACGTCAGCCTCCTTTGAACAGCTGGACAATAACGGAGTGGCTCTAGTCGGCTGGAAGAATGCTCGGCTCTAACAGTTCACTAATAACTTGTAAATCATGCACAAGAGCAGCCCCCCTCCCGAATTCGAACAGGACTGGAGGAAGGTCATTTGGTAGAACGGTCTTGTTCAACTTCAACAGTCCAACCTCATATTCCACTTTTGAGCGAGCGCGGATTCTAAAGGATAGCCCAAGGAGCAGAGCGATCATTGGCCGGCGAGAAATCTGACATTTCCTGTCGATTAAATTGCCTTCCAAAGTGCTCATCCCAACGCACAAGCGTTTTGATATATTGTGGATAGACTATTTACTCTCGCCATAAATAGCTTCACTAACACCGGAATAAGTTCCGATGGTTACCAAGGGCAGCAGTCACTTCATCCCCGATGCATGACGAGACCAGGATTCGAGGTCTCTCTTCAGGCTAGCACGTAGTTTTGCCCAGTTGTCTTTGCTAGTCTCCTAGTGTTCGGTTCTAGCCGGAATGTGTCAGCGAGAATCGAGAAGTTCCACAGATTGTGTAGGAACCTAATGCCCAAGCTGACTAGAAAATTCACTACATGAGGATTTACCTGCTGCTAATAAGATATTGTGAATATGCGATCAGCAATGTTCAACTGTATTCGGTGAGCTCTTATTCAACCCGGATGCCAGTATACTTCGATACGTATACAGAACATCTGGCTTAGCCAATTTACGGGTGTCTATGGGCTCATAGGATCGTCGAGGGCACCCGCATATCAGCAAATACAAGTGCATGATCAATGTCCACACATGTGCCCCAAATCGAGCGACAGTTTTGGACGCAAGCTCTTCTGTGGTAACTGATCGCGATGTGATCGATCTGCGTCTATGGCTGGCGGGCGTCCTGTCACCCTCCGGTGGGTGCTGTGTGGGAAGGTAGTACTCGGTTTTACAGACGAACGCCACTCGGCATAATATGCAACCAGGAGAGTTTAAATGGTGTTTAACCATTATGAAATCTAGTAGAGGTGGCTCCCATAGGACCAGAGAGGCAAACAACATCCCTTAGTGTATTGGAAATGCAAACGTCGTCGAATCGCACAAAGGCTCAGTCGCGTTGCGACAGTCTACCATGTCAGATAGGTGATTACTTTAGTTGGACAGGTAAAGCAGACATGGCATAGTAGCGTCCGGTTTTCGTGGAACAAGCCCCAATGCAAACTAAAACCATTAAAAGCCAACAAAAACGAGAAGCATTTTGAGCCGAAGTGAACCTATCTAGTGCACTGGTGGTCAGCCCAAGAAAGGTGTGATAAAATGGAAAAGCAAAGCAATGCGGTGCTAGTCATCATGTAGTTAACACTTGTGAGCGCGGATGGTCCAGGATTCTTAAAGCATAAAAACGGGGTTATTGGATTTGAATCTAAACTATTTGGGCAGATTATTCGAAACAAGTTACCAGAAAAGCGAGTAATAGATGAAAACAAAAAGTTGGCATGTGCACAACTCCAAAACCTGGGTACTTTTGCCGTTAGCTCGCAGAAATGAGGCACAATGAATAAATTATATGCTGGGAATGTTAAGGACGAGTCGTAGAAAATTGTTGAGCAAAAAGATAACTCACTATCGTTGGAGTCCCAAAGCCGATTTGTTCCGGTCGACCGATTAGGTGGTGGATGAAGATGAGAAGAACCCCTATCAGCAACAATTGAATCAATGCTATTCAGCAGTGTTAAGGGGCCACTGCCTCTTGAAGGTAAATCACAAACTGATGTATTGGCTGGAAGCGAAGTTAACGTAGGGTTCCATGTCGTCTCGCGTACATTGAAACTCTCGCAGTGCAACTCCCAAATTCCGGTACCGGTGGGAGGCTCGGTGGTCCATATGTTGGATTCCATTTGTTGAGATTGAAGAGAGCGGTAAACGATAGTGGAACCAGAAGTCGCACGCGAGCCCGGTGTAGGTGTGGCGAACCCACTATGCCGTAAACTGTCGGCAGATTTGGATGGATCTGTTGCCTCCCAGGAAGTAATTTGATCAATAGGCCGTCTGCCCCAACCTTCATTGGAGTTAATGAGGTGATCACAAAGTTGTTCAGTGGAGAACGCAGCAGAAGTCATCGGACCATCTGCGGGGCGACCAGTGACCTTAGAAGAGCCTACAAGAGACATGAATCATGGGGAAGATTGAACTGGGAAAGTCAAGAGCAGCAAACAGGTTGTCAATGTTGCGACAGTGAGCAAGTACACAATGGCGAATTGCGTGTGGCCAAGAATGTGGCATGAATTGTCTTAAATTAGGCTGGCAAACTGTCGCCACCATTTAATATCTCCAACCGTGTAAGACTATGCCGCTTGCTGTCAGCTTTCCTCTTTAACTTCGCCATTGACGAAGTCATAGAAACGGTGGGCACTGGACACGATCTTCCTGGTGAGTGACTACGTGACTTGGAGTAGACCGACGATGTTACTCTTAGTCCTGCCAGATCCTTAAAGTGCCAAGCAGCACAAAACAGATTAGCACTGGTTGCTACAATCTTTGCTTTGAACAATCGAAACGCAAAGTCCTTTGCCAAGATTGACAAGGACCCACACCTGCGCTGATCTTTTGTGGTGATCAGCTAGATGTTATTCAGGAATTTAAGTACTTACGCAATTAGATTAGCGCCTGTGGAATGGAAGATAAGATCAGGAGCCGTATAGCAAAAGCTCGAGGCATTTTTGTCGATCTCCGCTATCTGTAGTGCCGGTGCGAAATTACTCTCACTTTGAAAGGCGGAGTTTACAACGCAACCGTCCGTTCAACCCTCATGCACGGTTGTGAAACCTGGCTCCCCGGGTAGACAGTTTAGCTCATCTGGTGGGAACACTATGTGAGCAATGGGCGTGTCGGTGTCGTGTATTTGGTGCAGGGAGAGTGAGCCACTCAGCACTTATTTCACGCATTTGGCTCCGATGGCCGGGGGACGTGTTGCACAGGCCAGCACACCGACTCCCGGGAGGTGCGTTGTTTGTGCACCCGACGTGAGGTTGGAAGAGGAGGGGATGTCAAACGATGATTTAATCAAGAGGAATGAAAACCTTCAATTAGAACTTGGTGTCTCCCGACTGGCGGGTTAGGGTCCGAATGATGAGGAACATGTCTGGCTGGATGCATTTATTGATATGGCGAAGAGACAACCTCAATGGCGTGTGTTGTGAGTTTATTTGTCCATCCTCCTCCCGCTTATATTACCCTTTCAACAATGATCTCACACCTCACGCATAGTAGGAAGTCTAGCATTATATGACGTTTCTTTTCGTTTTTGAATTCTGTAATGTTTAGCAACTTATCTTTTTTGTATTTCGGCACAATAGCCGAAGTGTGCTTCTTATCCTTAAGGAACACGTATTGATGATGACGAATTCAGTCGCCCGACTGTGGAGTAGTCGTTTTCGAGCGGAACAATGACTGGACTACAGTCTTAAATACCGTTGAGCCTGTCGCACGTCATATGGCCGGACAAAGAACGCGCGCTATCGGCATTCACACACAATGAATGCACCTCAGATGGTCAATGCAATGAGATGCACATTGCACAGGTAAACAACGCAAGTTGAAAGCGTTCTACTGTAGAAAAACTGTAGAAAACCACTTCGCAGCATTAAGGTGGCCACCAAAGCACATAGTGAGCCTTAAGTAGCCGCCGGAATGACAATGGGATGCAGGTGGTTGGGAGCTCATTACACAGACTACTGATTATAGCTAGTCTGTCTAATTAAATTGAACGATTGACGGGTGGATCAGGTATTCCGGTCCATGATCCACGGGCCGCCAGTTCGAAACTGTGCAGGCATGAAGAACGGCACAGGAGCCCAGTTGGCATTGGAGCGCTGACAGTTTTCTTGTTGCGGAATCGGTACGAGATTTAAGCGCACTATTAATACCAATACAGTTCAAGGAATGGATCCTTGTGATGAAGCGACGAGTCGGAAGCAGTTCCAAATCAGACGAGATTAGTTGTTAGGGCTGACGTTTTGGTCGATGTCGCTCAGAAAGGAGTTGTTCATCTTTCTCAGGTAACAGGAACCTTCTTTGGACCTGTGTAGCGGATAAGTCGGAACAGCATACTGGCGGTCTAAATGGCTGTGGTCTTTGAAATCTAACGGGCCGCCGTCCGCCATCAAGGCTTCTAGCCGATTCTTTTGACTATCTGTAAGATGACGCCTGTTGAGGACACCTTGGAAGTAAAATACCCATGGAATAATTATTCGTACATCAATTAAGTCAGTGGAAGTCAGATACTCAACATACAATTAACGGGGACATGCAGCTCTGAGTGCTAGTTCCCTTGAGTAGTGGATGCGATTCCAAACCGTGTTCCTCAGTAGCGGTTGATGTAGCAGCTCGAGCTGATATATCAGCATGACGGATTGCGAATGCGGTCAAGCAGAATTCAAATGAGTTGAGCACGTGACCGACGCGTGAGCGTTGGGAGAGCACACACTAGAGCATGGTCATTATTGAAACGAGTTCTTCAAATCGAGAAACTATCCTGCACTGAGATGAGACCTTTATGACTGGTGGTTGTCTACAAGCCAGCTAGTCGGGCCGCACACATACGACTACTGACTGGCATCCAAACAACCAGAGCAGCTTCAACCACGGGGCTCAGGATAATACCAACGCCGGCTTGGCCGGTACTCCAAGTTGCATCGTCTCCGGATAGGCGCAATGAGAAAGCACTAGCAGTGTCACCTAAATGGGATCGCGGAGTGAGAAGAGGTCGAGTCTTGTAGGCGGGTTCTCGATAGGCAGCAGATATCCATCGAGAGGGTCCCTAAGGTTCGGGCAAGTAATGCCTATTGATCGAGCTGTAACCATGTACGCATGTTGAGGCATGTCAATCTGAGGGAGGATCGCGGGCTTCAAATAGAATCCGGGGGATTGGGCTTCACTGCTTGGTTAGACATAAGCTCGTTGATAGGGCAAGAGTGATGCTCCGCATTTGTATGCGGAGTGAAACTAGAAAAACGTTCAACAAGCATGGTGGGGGATGGTCAAGAAGTGGGGCTGAAAACGAGGGGGTAAAAGTGAGGTTTGAACAGAACGATAAGGGAGAAAAGGCGAAAGGGGGAGAAAAAGATGACAGGAAGGCTTGAGCAATAGCATTCAAACCCCTATCCACCTTGCATGATGCAGCAGATAGGGCGCCGTTGGTTATCATCTGTCGCGGCCAGAGCATTAAAACACTCAGATAGCACAACTGGGATACAGTATAATCTATGGTGGAAGTATTATTCCGCGATGAGAGCGATCACATCCACCACAGAACGCAAAGGCAGGTTGACTTCAAGCGCTTGTAAGACAATCCGTGTAAATCGATATAAGTGTGAGTAGATGACTGGAAGCTAGAGCGCAGGTTGGCTGTAGGCTAGTTCACAGCGATGGGTTCGACTGATTTTCCACAGTTGAAGATAAGCCGTTCGTGACAACTATTTGGGCCGATATTTCTCGGGCAAAGAAAAGAGCTCAATAGGGGAATAGGCGCAAAGACAGGTTAAATCTCTCAGTCAACGCGGAATCTTGGAAAAATTGAGTATGTAATGTAAGAGGAACTAAAAAGTGTCCATTGAGACATCGATCCGGGTATATTCCCAGGAACGTCTACAATGTCCGGTCAATCAAGACAGGCATTCCGTAGAGGTATGCCAGTTTGTACTGATGGAAGTAACAAATGAACCGGTTGGTGTAGTTCTTGGACTATTTTGTATGGCGTCATACGTGTCATCGGCAAACGGCACGCGGTTTGAATCCAGTTTACCAACTAGGAATATTGGGGAATGCGGTGGGTCCAGCTGCTATTATTTGTCACCAAAATGAAATTGGTAAGTGTAGTGATAATAACCGTGATAAATTGAGTTGAGATTAAAACCGCCGAACTGGGAAGCTACGGACCATATACAAACGATACTAAAAACAAGGAATATGGGAGCAGGGTAAAAATAGCTTAGCATAGGTTCATTTTGCAGTCGGTCGAGTTAACTTTGTAAGTAGTTTTGGTAAACAAGCGCGGAACAGCATGTCGCCGGCTGTATAAATCCATAGCGGGTGCACTATCCTGTATCATAACCGAAATGGCATTAAGGGCGTAAGGGACTTAAGAATAAGTGAAATAATAAACACTACAGGATCAACAAATGCAATGTAAAAGCTCACCGATTCCTGCTAACGAAGAACTGGAGGAAGTAGAAGCCAGACAAGGCGTTACATGTGACTTGGTGCTGACAAGCGAGGACACGCCGGAGTCCGTGAATGGACATGAATGGATAGAGAGTGGTATAATGTTACCCGAAGAGCTCGGTGGCTCGCGTTGCCTCGGCAGCTGTTCATCACTATACGAGTTCGGCCGAACATTAATGACTGCAGCCGTAGAGACGGATTCAAGAGCACCGTCCCATACCTAAAAGGGACAAATCAGAACTGGTCATAAAATTACCTTGGTACGAGAGTTAGGACAAATAGCGTCATCAGAAATAATAGATTGCCAGGAAATTGAGGGGCCCGAAAGACTTAGGTCATGATGGTTTAAAGTGTGAAGTTCAGACGTCGCCCATATAGAGGGAGCATCAACATCGTGAAGCACAGAGCCGATTGGAGCCCAAGACGGCACTAGCAGGGAATAGAGTGAGAATGGCATCTTACGCTTTGAGAGCGAATCAAGCGACGGATCGTCGGAACATTCTCCATATCCACTTGAAACGGTAGGTACTGGGCGGATAAATATTCAAGATGCAAAACTTACCAAAGCCATTCAGTTTTGATAAGGTATTGGAAGTAGCAGCCTTACAGTCGAAACTCCATAAGTCCGCTCGATCACAATCATTCAGGTTCCAAAACTCGTAGTTATACCACGCGTTAAAAGGCACGTTATCATCACACTGTGACATCTAGACTGAGTGGTAACGAGAGAGACTTAAAAATATAGCATACCCTCACTGAATTACAAAAGGGAAACACATATAAGCAAACATCTCAATTCAGGACAAGTACCTGACGACCGCCAGGGCTCTGAAGAATGGCGTCTGGCCAGCTAGATGGAGGTCAACCCAACACACTTAAACAAAGTGTTCAACAAACAGCACCGTTATATTTAGATGCACGGCGTAATTCTCTGTTTAATTTTTTGTGCTTATTACATCTGCTTTTGAATGGGGTCAGCTAATTTAATAACGGCGAATTTTCTTGTGTCCAAAAAGACTACAAGCGACTCTAGGACAGCTTACACGAATTGTCCATCAAGTAGGAATGGCCAGTAAACCCAGATAAATGCACTGTTCTTCCAATGGGTAGCACTGAACCGTACGGTGCACAGCGCATTGGTGAACTCTCCTCAGGAATACCACTCACGAGAGAGATCTCAGGGTTATCGTGACTTGTGACCCTAGAACGACGCAGGACGCCTTGAAGAAGTTGGCAACTGGAAGGAGGCTGGTGGGTGCCTTACGAAGCGCATTTGCTCGAATGGTTGGTGAGATTACTCGACCATGGTTCACTTCCTACGTGAGTACTACACGGTAACTCGATTTTTTGGCGTGCCATACTGATCGAGATTTTCAGCTGAAATAACGTGGAAAACAGTGTTTGAATAAACACTTAAAACGAAATTTGACTATTGTCAAATTTCCTCTGATCCAAGAAATCTTGGATCGATTAAATTGGTACTGGCCCAAGCGTCTTTGACGCTTACTGGTAATTTTTCCGGTTGTTTCCAGTTTTAATCCCGTTTTACACCCTGTTTTTGCCTTTTTATTGCGGTCGTTTTCCTATTGTATACGTGTTGTTATTCTAATCTGTTTTCCACATGAACATGGCTGTCTCGCTAAACGCCGAGACGGATGGACCTATGGGGTCCTCGTTTGATGAGTCTACTGCAGCTTGCGGACAGGTTAACTGTTCAGAGCCAGTAACAGATGCATCTGGTGGTATGCAGTGTGACGTCTGCTGCCGCTGGTATCACGAAAGCTGTACCGGCCTACAAGCTGACCAGTACCAAATGCTATCATCAAGCGTCCACTTTCTTTTCAGCTGCGCTGAATGCTGCGCTAAAAGATCGACGCGCCCGGCTGTCACCAGTGCTAAACTTTCAGCGTTGGCTTCAAGGTTGGCAGATGTTGAGTTGGCGATAGCTAAACTCGCCTCTATTGCGTCGCTAGATACGAAAATGGATTTAATTTTAAAATCCCTAAATATTTCGTTTGAAGACACAGCAATAGCCGGCAACATTGCTGACGATCCATCCACTGGAGTCTGTCACTCGATCATAAAGTCGCACATCCTACCGGCCAATCCAGGTAGCATTGCTGGCGGTCCTCATGATCCGATCAAAGTGAAGAAAAATAGGGTGCGGAAATACCAAAAGCCCTCTGCTAAACCCAGAGAAATAGTTGCCACGGCATCGAACGAGATGCCGTCTTTGACAGTCGTAAAGTCGTCTGAAGATTGCACACAGAACCTTCCACAGACGCTGACTGTCTCGGCCGCCAGTGAACCAGCCTGCTCTGACGAAATGCTGGTAACTGCCCAATGCGATACAAAGTCAACGGCCCCTGCTCCAGTGAGCCAAAAGAAGAAGCGGACAAGATCTGCTCGTAAAACTTCGAAGGGGCTTGAAGACCCTGGAACCAGTAAGACGCCGGCAATAGAGCGGAAAACCTACGCTACCGTTGCTTCGGCGTCGTTTGGGAAGCCAGCGACAGTCCCACCGCCAGTGGTGAAAACAGCTGGTATAGGTGTCGACTCCAAGGCACGTGGGGTAAACACTCCCCGTCGTGCCGACTCTTTCACTGATAGTAGCGTTATATTCCGTAACGTTACTGAATCTGAGGCCGTTCTCCCAAGGGAACGCATCTTGGATGACATCAAGTGGCTGAAACTGTGTGTCAGCAAGCTGCTTCCACCTGGTTTCCCTGGTGTCACTGTCAGAAAGCTGATCAGATTGGGGAACGTTCCTATCGCTACGCCAAATCCACGACCCCGACTACTTCGCGTAGTCCTTTCTACCCCGGAGGAACGCAAATCGTTACTGCGATTTGCATTCAAACTTAAGGGTAGTGGTGTCAGCGTTCAGCCGGACCTCCCACTGGCAGATAGGTTGAAGTTAAAGGAGGCTATCAAAGATCTCAAAACTAGACGGGCGGCTGGTGAGCAAGGCCTCCGTCTGGTGGGTTTTCAGGTGGTCAGCCGGAAAGTACTTTCCGCCCTATCAGAACCAATCCTGATGGCGCACGACCCAGGGATGGTCGTGCCGACTTCCTTGAGGTGGTACTTAGCAACGTGCGTAGCCTAAGGAACAAGGTGCACGAGTTGGGTCTACTTGTAGGCAAATCTCGTCCCGACATACTTGCTTTCACTGAGACGTGGTTGTCCCCGGATATCACGGACGGTGAGGTATATTTACCTGGCTACGCGCTGCTTAGAACTGATCGCTCCGTTGGTCGCCAAGGCGGAGGCGTTGTACTGTATGTGAGCTGTAACTTAGATGTGTTTAGGACTTGCACATTCCAGTCGTCGGATCAGACTGTTGAAGCCCTATCGGCTGTTTTGTGCACTTCCTCTACCCAGTTTACAGTTATAGTGGTATACAGAAGTCCTGGAAGTTCCTCCAGGGGTATACTTGACTTTATTCGCACTCAGTCTGCGAATAAGTGTTTAGTTCTAGGGGATTTCAACCTCCCGGAAGTCTGTTGGGCCGATCTTTCTTGCAATTCGGCATTAGGAACATTCGGTGCAGACTTCCTTGAACTGACTCTTCAAGTGCCTTTGCACCAGTTCGTTGACTTTCCCACTAGGTATATGGACAACCAAATGCCATCTACTTTGGATTTGGTTTTCGCTAAGTCCCTGGACTTCGTGACTGACGTTTCATGCGGTGCACCTCTAGGGTCCAGCGAGCACGTATGCATATCCTTTCGATGTGCTCTTTCAAGGCACCAAGAGACCGCTGTTGAATTACTTCCGAATATTTGGCGGGCGGACTTTAGTGCAATGCGAACTAAGGCTTCAGTTCTTAACTGTGAGATTTCGATGGCTGACTCTGCCCAGTTAGCCTGGGATAAATTTAAGGCATACCTTACGGAGGTTTCCGAACCCTATATTCCACTCATTAGGAAAAGAGGGTTAAGGGCACAGCCTCCATGGATAGATACCACAGGCAAGTACCTACTCAAGAAACGGTCTAGATGCTGGCGAACCTACCAAGCAGCTCCATCAGCCAGTACCTATGATAGTTATCGAGAGAATAGGAATAAATGTAAGCAACATCTCAGAACTGCTCGTCTCCAATACGAGCAGGGTTTAGCGGACTCGGCCGCAGCTAATCCCAAGAAGTTTTTTGCTTACGTTAAAAGACGCAGCGGGCAAAGTTGTCTATACCAGCTTTATTGCGAGCAGACGGGACCCCTGCGCAAACTGACTATGGCAAGGCTTGTATACTGAGTGATCAGTATACTGCGGTCTTTGCTCGGGAGACCTCTTTACCGCAGGTTGAATTGGTTTCAAAAGTTCCAGAGGATTCTTGCTTAGCTGAATTTAGCATAACGGAGACTCAGGTCTTCGAGCTACTGCAAGGCATTAATCCCTCTAAAGCTTCCGGTCCTGATTCAATTCATCCGAAGCTGTTGCATGAACTGGCCACTGAGCTGAGTGGTCCGCTCACGTGCGTATTTTCAATATCGCTGGACAGCTGCAGCCTACCTTCGGAATGGAAGGAGGCAATCATCTGTCCGATTTTTAAGGGCGGTGACAGCGCTCTACCCGCGAACTACTGGCCTGTCAGTTTGACAAGCGTAGTAGTCAAATTGTTCGAGAAGCTGATAAGAGATTCAGTGGAGAACCACCTGAATCGATTCAACCTTCTCAGTGTTGCACAACATGGATTCCGCAAAGGATTTTCATGTCAGACTAATTTACTTGTAGCTCGTGAAAGCTGGGCCGAAGCGGTAGACAGTGGCCACGCTGTAGACGTGCTATTCGTAGATTTCTCGAAAGCTTTTGACACTGTTCCACATCTTCGGCTCTCACTAAAGTTGAGATCCTACGGGATATCTGGTCGCGCCCTTCAATGGGTGTCTGCCTTCCTTGAGGGGAGGGAACAGTGCGTACGGGTGGGGCGTAGCCTTTCGCTCAGGCAAGCTGTCCTTAGTGGCGTTCCGCAGGGCTCGGTATTGGGGCCATTGTTGTTCGCGATCTATGTAAATGACTTGCCGGGAGATTTAGGGGTGTCATCATTAATGTTTGCTGACGACCTTAAGCTCTGGAATATTGTGGATATCCCGGGGGGTCCTGAGGCAATTCAGCGTGCCTTGGATAGACACTGGGAATGGTCTATCTTATGGTTGATGCCCATAAAT